AAGAGCAGTGCTTCGCAGAATCTACCACCGGATCGGAAACGCGACCCACTCAGAAGATACGGCTAGAAACTCAGTGGGCTGTGTCTGTGGGTTAATTCGCTCGTCGAGCCCTTGTAGGCAGACGAGCATACGGCCCACCTGATGGTGAGTAGTTACCGTCGCCCATGGACTTCAGCAATGCCAGGGGCAGAGCCAATCCGCTACCTACGGCTTAATACTCTCCACAAGCCTCGTTTGAAGAAGGACATGTCATAGCGCTCGGGAAACAGCGTGGAGGGGAGCTCATTCCATAGCCGGATGGTACGTGGCAAAAAAGATCTCTGGAAACGCACTGTGGATGACCGCAGTGGCTCCAGGTAATACTACCGGAAAATCATACGGATGAACTCTACTCCGGCGGCATTTACGTTGTAGATGTCTATGGGCTCCGGTAACCACTTAACACCAAGTGGGCTGTGAGGTCGTCCACCCGTCTAAGCAATAAAAAATAAATCGCGACTGAAGCACATGCGGGCCCATTTTAAAGTTGAACGAACCGTGCTGGCGTCGTTTTCCTCTCGCCAAACGCTATTCACGGTACCGTAGTCTTATTCCGTACGATGCGATTAATGAAACTAAAGTGACGCTCAATCAGAGCTGTCACGTCAGATACAATGTTGCAGATCGCGTAATACGGCTCTTTCGCGCAATTGGTTAATGGAAACAATTTGTGTCATTGTTTCCCGAAGAGAACTTTGACCTGACGTAACTATACGAGAGGGTTTCGTTCGTATCTCAGTGACTGTGTTGTCTAGAAAATTCTATATTTTAACTAGGGTCAACTAGTGACTTCGCAGTGCCTCAATCGATAAATAAAAGACCTAAACTTTTGTATAAAATAAACTTAAAACAAACAAAAGGAATACGTCCGACGGGGGGGCACATCAAAGGAAAAACAAAATTGTTATTTTTATTTAACTCCGAGCATTTTTACCTTTATCTACCTTTTAAACCTTCTCTGGACTTCCGCAAATAATTCAATACCAAAATTAGCCAAATCGGTCCAGCCGTTCTCGAGTTTTAGCGAGACTAACGAACAGCAATTCATTTTTATATACAGTCAAACCTGGGTAAGTGAGAACTGGATAAGTAAGAAAACTCTATAAGTGAGAGTAATAGCAAGGACCCGTCATTTTAAGCTCCCAAAACCTCTATTAGCGAGAAACAGAAATCTCTGTAAGAGAGAGTCGTTTTTTCCTCATGGACCTCCGTAAGTGAGACTGCTACCTCTATAAGCGACAGCCGAGCTTTATTTATCTATTTATATTATTTAGGAGGAACAAATGACAAAACAAATTACAAATTTAACATCTGCTATTTTATGACTCATTCTTAACTTTCGTGGAACTTCCTATCATTGTTTTTGAATTGTTTTCTCGTCAATATTGAACCTATTCTATTTCGTGGAACTAAATAACGTTGTTATTTTATCGTATTCTTTTATCGCATTCTTTTCGAATGGACACGTGTGCCTGTGTACCGTCCTGTTTGTCGGACTTACTCAGGTTATCGTTAATCAATTGCGAAGGAAAGTTCTGTTCTGCATCATGTAAAAACGGAAAATTAAAGTACTGTCATTAAAGTCATAAACTTAAAATAGTGAATGCGTCTGAATGCGGAAAATCGCGAATCGAAATTTAGAGGGAGCATTAGCGAGAGACTCGGGTTAGTGAGAAACCTCTATAAGCGAGAATGAGATTGTGCTCCCTTGAACTCTCGCTTATCCAGGTTTGACTCTATATAGATTGAAAGGCTAGTAACCGTCATTAATCCTAGCCCAGTCTGCTCAAGGGTATTCCGTATGATAATCCATTGTAACCGGCATCATCTAGGCGGGCTCCGGATAGCCTGCCGACCGAGAGGGCTGGTGGTCGTGCCGCCGACGACCACCAGTCCGGCGTCCCGAGGGGGAGGGTGATGGGAGAGATGTGCTCCGCACTAAACGCTAATCTCCCCCCTTTGCCTTTTCATGAGTTCTGTCTCATTAGAGGCTCGGACGTTGGTCGTTGAGCGACAGGAGGTTTTAGTCGGTTCAACTCCGACATCTTCCGCCCACCAACTCCAGAGGAGGGTGGAAGTCCGGCGATTTCCTCCTGACCAAAAAAAAAAGAAGCCCAGTCTGCTGAGTCCATTTACATGTACAAAGAAATTCAAGGTACCTCAAAAGTGACTAATCGCGGCCTGTCTTTCGTTTTTAACATTATTTTACAAATTTTATCGCACGTTAAACTTCACAGTGAGATTTGTTTTAGACATGCCTAATACTATCAAGAGATGTTAATGTCAGATCCAATAACTCTTGCATTAGACGCCTTCGACACTAGGAGCAAGCGTAGAGACCCCGGTATTTGTACTCGTCGAACTCGGCAAGAGTTCGTCGTGCAACCTAACCTAAAAATCAGCCCGCTGAGTTTCTCGCCGGATCTTCTCAGCGGGTCGCGATTCTGATCCGGTAGTATATTCATCCGCGAAGCAGCTGCTCTTGAGTTGTTAGGTCTCCTTCGGAGGCGCTCGGGCAGCTGTTAGCAAATCCTATCCCTCCTGGCTGACCCTTTTCTCGCCTACATGTCCTGGTGTAAATGGAAAGGCCTCTGGGCCACCAGTAATCTTTCAATAAGAAATAAAAAACACGACGCCTATATCCATATCTATATACCCATTCTATATTGGTATAGTATAGGATATAGGTATGGACCTATATCCTAAGTACACATTGTAATAAGAATATATATTTAACGAACGCGCCACCGAGTGAAAATGCAATGCATACAATAACAGACTAAAATAACCCTGCAAGGGCGTATCGGCGTGCACACAGCGGGTTCCGTCGAAATTAATATTCACGTTTGAATTATAAAGAAATAATTACGCTAAAACCTCTAACCTATAAGATGCCTTATACCAAGACAATAACTAATCATGTCTCATTATCAAAATATAAAAATTGCATTTGTCCTTTCCATCGCCGTCCTGTTGTTCTTTTAGTTCCACATCTCAGTCGGTTGCGGCGTTGTCCGTGGACTTACAAACAGTGAGCTTAGTGCGAGATTTTTTAACGTTCTCGATAACGTAAAAGTTAACTCAAATTTTGTATGCAGTTGGAACAGCGCCCCTAGCGGCAAACGTAGGCAAACTTCTAACTCTATACAAATCTGAGTTAACTTTTACGCTATCGAGAACGTTAAAAAACTCGCACTAAAAGCACACTGCTCTCAATACCGGCTATCCGACATTTAGTAATAAAATTTTGAAAAGACACTCAGGCGGGTACTAAAATTAATTATATTAAATCAATTATTTAAATATCGATAACATATTTATTATTCGCTTATCGACTTCGAGACTATTGCATATCTAACGTCCTGTATATTAAAATTAAGTTCAACAATTAGTGATGTACCATGTTAACAAAAGTTTTTTATCGATAACAAAAATAATCTTTTTATTTTTTTTATTACAGTAAATGGTTATACGAAGTTGCAGTCACGAATTTATTGGAATGAAAGCTATCCAGTAATGTTGTATTAGTAGTTACTAACCCGTACGTACTTACTAGCGGTAGGTACGCTTCATAAGCCGCCCTGACAAAACTATTAGAGAAATATCTATAGCTCTGTAGACTGATGTTAATTAGTGACCAAGGCAGCTCATATAAGTGTCAACATCTTCAAATTTGAGATTGAAGTAACTCAATCAAATCGAAGTTTTGCTTTACCGTAAGAATATAAAGGATTGTGCATACTTCACAATACAATTTACCACCAGTTAGGTATTACGAAAACTAAATTAATTAGAAACAATATTACTATAATCAATTTTTCATATACATATTAAATAGATTATAAATTTTAATTTCATATTGTTTCTAACATCATGGTAGTGCAAGGTAAAGGGGGAAGAGGTCGACCGAAGAAGACATGGATGGAGTGTGTGAATGACGATATGAGAGAGAGAGAGGAGTGAGTGTTGAAATTTGAAATAACGGCTGATAGAAGAGAATGGAAGAGAAAAATTAGCTGTGCCGATCCCACCTAGTGGGATAAGGTGGAGAAAAAGAAGAAGATTGTTTCTAACATCGGAATTTAGCTCACGACCGAATTGAATCATCGAATCTTTAATAGCAATTATTAGTAGGAGAGTGTAATGTTTGCCCGTCCGGGTCGGGACCAATACAAATTTAAAATACAATATTTAAAGACGGGAACAATATTTAATCTATTCTCAATTTGACCACAGACGTCAAGAACAAAAGTTTGACAATAAATAGTATGCATGCGTGTGTGCGTCAAATACATGGCATGTAGTGTGTGTAATGTTTTCTTTATTGATTTAATGTATCTTTTATGCATTTGTGGCGGGTAGCCATCATACAACGCAAGATAATTGACAAATGCCTGAATCTCGCTTACGACATTTTCAAGATAAAGCGCATATATACAAGTTCCGAACAACAACATTCGGACCGTCGGTCTACTGAGCAATATCACCCGCTCAGTGGAAGATCTTTCCTTTCGTCGTTAAGCCTTCCCCAAACATTATTTTAAAAAAAATATTAGCATTATGCACTTCTTCTCTATATTCTCTATAAGTGTGGAAAATTCCATACTCCTCCGTGCGCGCAATTTTCGTAAAAAGGGATACAAAGTTTTTGCTTCACGTATTAATATATAGATTTTCTATAGGAAGTGTAGTCTTGGCGAAATTTGTGATTATAAAAGTACTAATAATGGTCTTTGAAAATAGAATCATAATAAACAATTTCAATTAATTATAGTCGAATTTCGACTACTGCGCGACCACTATAGTATAAAATAATATCGAGCGCGGCTGAACCCTAGCTCCAATTCGCGGCGTCCCGGCACACGGAGTTGCGTGCGTTTTTCAATTTTAAATTTCATGAAATCGCTAATCTACCGCGGTCCCCTTATATAAAGGCGATACAGAACGCACCCGGTCATTGCGTTCCCGCCACCGTTCCGGGCAACATCCGGCTAACTGATACACGTAATTGAAGATTTAATTCTGTTCTCCGAGAACCGTAGCGAGTTGCGAATCGATTTTGCGAAAAAAGGTATTTATTATTTTCTTTTAATTCTTCTATTTCGCTTTCTATGTCCAGCCAAAAGATTTCTAGTCAATACCGAATTAAGAAATATAGTGTGAATTCTCAAGTTGTCCAGTTCAATACGAGAATTAATTTAGCGCTTCTCAAACCTTGTTATTTAATTTAAAATCTATTTTTTTACTGACCATTTTTCTCGTTATCTATGTCCAGCCAAGAGATTTCTACTCAATACCGAATTAGGAAATATTGTGTGAATTCTCAATAGGTAGTTGTCCAGTCCAATACGAGAATAAATTTAAACGCTTCTCAAACCTTATTATTTAATTTAAAATCTTTTTATTATTGATCGTTTATCGTGTGTATTAATTTTTGTACTTCAAATATCTTAGTAATTTAGAGATACTTTTTTTTTTTTAAAACTTTTAATAGATATCAAAAGCGGAATTAAGACGAAATCTCGCAAGTATCGCGCGCGCATTATCTTCATAAATAAATAAAAAGAGAAATATAAACCTAATTATCTTTGAGTAATACTGGTATTTAATTGATGTATCATAAATCATAAAATTCAGGTTCATTATCCATATTGAATTTTCTCTATTATCATATTAGTGAGATTACGAAAAAGAAGCTAGGTCCATTTATTATTTTTTATAATTTCACTGGTCAGTAAATAAATAATAGTTTAAAAAAACTAACAGCTAAAGCTTTTATAGAAAATCCATCTAAAAAATAGAAAATAAATTTTAATAAATTTGAATTAAAAGTAGTGTAAGTAAAAATTATTTTATTGTAAAAGAAGCGTATTTTTTTTGTTTTTTTAAACTATTATTTATTTTTGATTATTTAGTTGAATTTCAACTTTTTCAATTTTTTTTTTTTTTCAATATTGTATTGTCATCGGTCTTTAATAAGTATACCAAAATTCAAGTTAATGAAGCGACGTTTTGAAGGGGGTCAAAATCATGTTCAAAGATTCCGTTACATACATACATGTATACGTCTGAAGCTAATAAAAGCGTGTTAACAACAAAAGGCAATATCTCGAAGCTCAGTTCAGAAAGAGAAATTGAGGTTTTTTTTTATTGCTTAGATGGGTGGACGAGCTCACAGCCCACCTGGTGTTAAGTGGTTACTGGAGCCCATAGACATCCACAACGTAAATGCGCCACCCACCTTGAGATGTTAGTTCTAAGGTCTCAGTATAGTTACAACGGCTGCCCCACCCTTCAAACCGAAACGCATTACTGCTTCACGGCAGAAATAGGCAGGGCGGTGGTACCCACCGGCGCGGACTCACAAGGAGTCCTACCACCAGTAAACTGTATTTTTTTTTTATTGCTTAGTGGGATGTACGAGCTCACAGCCCACCTGGTGTTAAGCGGTTACTGGAGCCCATAGACACCTACAACGTAAATGCGCCACCCACCTTGAGATATAAGTTCTAAGATCTCAGTATAGTTAAAACGACTACCCTACCCTTCAGACCGAAACGAATTACTGCTTCACGGCAGAAATGGGCAGGGTGGTGGTACCTGCCCGTGCGGACTCACAAGACGTCCTACCACCAGTAAACTGTGTTGAATCTTTTAGAACAATTAAACCCTTTTGCAGCTGGTGATGTCTTTGGTTCCTTACCAGACGTCCCGCCTGGCACGGAATCAGGATGTCCTACTGAAAATACACTAGTTAAATACGAATTAGTTAGTTAATTCCCTTCCTTCAAAAGTTTTTATATAACTGTCAACCCTAATTCACTTAAAAGGGTGTTTCTCTTTGAAAAAAAAACTCGAATACACGTTTGCATTACTAATCGGAAGCATACATATGTAGTATTGGGCTTCATTTTTTAGAAATACCCTTCATCGCTCACTTTTATACTTTTGGGGGCGAAATTACCAGCAATCTTTTCGCACGACGTAAAAGACAGCGAATGCCAATATCTCAGGGTTGTTTCATTCGGGGCGAGTAATAATTATATAGACTAAAATTCCGTATACCCAAAACTCGCGTATTTTTCAAATAGGGTCGAAGCTTTGTAAAGTTGCGTGTGCTTTAAAATTTTCCGAGACGGTCTTCTCTTTCGTCTGCTCTTGTAGTAATTAATAACCAAGTTCTTGATGTCTTCTTCTTTTACTATATTATAGATAGATCTATATTATAGATACTAGATTATTTAGAATAAGCCAATCAGAACATGATAAAGTGACGTTTGCAATAACCGAAGTCAGTCATAATCAAACGTTCTAAGGTAGGACCTCATGTGCATCCGCACGGGTAGGTACCACCAACACGCCTATTTCTGCCCTAAAGCAGTAATGCGTTTCGGTTTGAAGGGTGGGGCAGCCGTTGTAACTATACTGAGACCTTAGAACTTATATCTCAAGGTGGGTGGCGCATTTACGTTATAGATGTATATGGGTTCCAGTGACCACTTAACACCAGGTGAGCCGTGAGCTCGTCCACCCATCTAAGCAATAAACAAAAAAAAAAAAAAATGTTCTCGACAAGAAACAAACAAACATACTCCCGTCGTAGCTTTGAAACGACCCACGTGCTTAGTAACAGCGCCGTGAATCATTACGGAAAAATGCGATGGATGACACAAACAAAAAAAAAATTACAAAAGGTTTCTCGATAGTTTTTTTTTAAATCAACATCACAGTGCACTCCTGCTAGTCATTCGTAAGAGATACCGATGTAGTACCGCCCTAAACACGACTAAAGAACTCAACTATATCAAAACTTCTTCGATTTATGTTCGACTCGCGAAACTAATTAACCCTTTGACTGCCATGTACTGGTAGGACGTCTTGTGAGTCCGCACGGGTAGGTACCACCACCCCGCCTATTTCATGCGTTTCGGTTTGAAGGGTGGGGCAGCCGTTGTAACTATACTGAGACTATAAGAACTTATATGTCAAAGTGGGTGGCGCATTTACGTTGTAGATGTCTGTGGGCTCCGGTAACCACTTAATAACAGGTGGGTTGTGAGCTCGTCCACACATCTAAGCAATAAAAAAATACCCTACATCTGATCCCATGCTTTTTCTCTATAGATACTTCATTAATGTCCTTAAGAGCACGAGTAGTTGGGCCGAAAATGGCCCATGTCCTTTGTGATTACACTCACGTTCCGACCAGATGTGAAAAAATAATAATTTTCTCTCTCTTTCTCTCGATTGTTCCAGAATTCTTTCTTCGAGAATCTCATCAGTATTATAGAGCAGTCAGAGTCAGAATGCATTTAGTTTTGCTATTCACCGTCGCGGCGCTGCTGGGCTCGTGCCAGTCCGCCCATTTGAATAAGCACATTAAGCTGCTTTCGGACATCGATAACAGTATTGAGAATGGTGGTGAGTTTCATTGGAAGGGTTTTTTTAAATATTTGAACTAATTTTAAGTAACTGTAAACTTTGAAAAACCTTTGCAGTTTCCTTTATTTGCTCACTGGTGATATTGACATTATTGATTTGCTTACTATAACTCAAATTTTAAGGTTTAGTCAAAATAAATATAAGATTCTTCAGCTAAATCTGTGCATTTTTGTATCTTTATTTTAGGATTTTAGTATATTTTTAGTAGGTACTTTAATTTTTAAAACAAAAGCTAACTATACATTTTAATTTTCCACAATAAACATAGTCTGTGTCAAGATATTATAACGTAATTTTTTTTTGTGGCATCTAAAAATTGTCAATGTTATAAATTTGCCGTTTTTTAGTCTGCAAATTGTATTAATTGAATTTTCGTTATTTTTCAGTGCAAGCAAAATCTGATGGATCTCATAAATATTTATCGATCACGCAAGGCCCCCTACCGTCGTACGCACATACTCCCGGAACCACTATTGAGTTGACCTGTGAAGCTGCCGGATCTCCAGCACCATCAGTGCACTGGTTCAAGAACGACTCTCCAGTCTACGAGGTGACCAATCAAATTGAAATATTTAATACAGCGCCACCTGTCGCTGCAAAGCGGAACTAAAACGAAAATTTTTCGTTCACAGTACGACGTCGAGTCCAACGAATTAATCGACTCAAGCCCGACATCTATTGCGAGAATTTCCTCAACTCTCATAGTGACGCGTACGACCTCTCAGGATGTGTACACCTGCCTCGCCACCACGAGCTCCAAGACTGCGCGAGCCAGCACTGTGGTCTACAATACAGGTGATAACATCGTCATTCTCAAAAAGAAATTATCTTATAAACATACCTAATTACGTGCAAATATTTTAATCAAATGTCATTATCAGTTACATTCTACTCGCCGACAGATAGCGCTACTGAGCTCTCGGAACGCGCTAAGCTGTTCCCGCTGAAGCCTCGCATCGTAGTCTCCTACAGCACCTACGTGGACAACATCGGCAACAGGGTGGTGCTCCCGTGCCGCGTCAAGGGACACCCCAAGCCCAAGATCACCTGGTTCAACGGACAGAATGTGCCCATTGAAAAGAACCCGCGCATGAAGGTAAAATTGCTTCTATTCTAATTACGAAGTCCCATTTAACAGATGTTATTACTATGTTATTTTGTGTGTGAATTAATTGTATAATGATTTAGATAGATTGTGTATTTTTTAAATGATGCTTACGACCGTGAACAAAAAATGATTATTATTTCGAATTATGCGATACGTTAAGAGTTACATTCTAAGAAGTGTCAAAAGGGACTTCGTAATTGGAATAGAGTATAATTCCTAAATTAACTGACGAAAATGCACTTTTACAAATGTCGATAAACGTTCTAAATTGAATTAAACTACACATATTTAGTTACGAAGGCAAAACGTAGGATATTTTAAAAATATTTTATTGCCTCTATCTGGGTCTGTTGATACAGCGCGAGCTGACGGCCGAGAATTACACTATTTCGATTTCAAAACTGTGTCTTCCGAAACACAGATGGCGCTGTTTTCAAAATTTACGTTCTAAGTAGTTTTTTTTTTGTCTCTAACATCAGATTCTGTTGGCAGGTGCTTCGCTCGGGCGAGCTGGTCATATCCTCCCTCCTCTGGAGCGACATGGACGAGTACACTTGCCAAGCCGAAAACGCTTTCGGCTCGGAGAAGGCTAAAACATTTGTCTACCCCGCTAAAGTAAGTTTCTCAACACTATTCTTTCTATTGAATTAAGATTACTGCCACAGTGTGCTTAGTGCGAGTATTTTAACGTTCTCGATAGAATAAAAGCTTTTTGTGTATGTATTTGTAACTTAATATGAATTTCATTGCACCTACCACTATTTACTCTGCACTACCTTTGGTTGACTAGTAGAGAATGCTTTAGGCATCAAGTCTGCCAATGTAAAATTTGCATGAAGTGTAATAAATAAAATTAAATAAAACATAACTCATATTTGTATGGAGTCGGAACGTTTGCCTACGTTTGCCGCTAGGGGCGCTGTTCTAACTCCATACAAATTTAAAATAACTTTTCGCACTAAGCACACAGCCTTCAAATTTTAAATAACCCTTCGACTACCCTGTAGGTCACCGGTGCCCTACGCAGCGCACCGAAGTAATTATGTCGATTTCTCTTCGATCTTCTTACTAGGGCGCCGGAATATCTAGTAGACTCTGGGAAAGACGATTCCAAAGATATTGAGAATGAATCGTATTTCTAAGAGAACTAAAACACTAAGACATACATTAAGAAACAAAAGAAGGCAAAGGTAGACAATCCAGGCGCCTTAGTAACAGAAATAAATTCTTCAGTACTAAAATGGGAATTATATTAGATGTAATCATTTTAGTTTTCATTATGTCTTCAACTATTGGGGAAATAACCCTGACTAATGTTAGTCAATAGAAGCGATAGCTCTACCGCCATTTCTACGTAAAAGAATTGCTTACAATATATTATCTAGTGGGATGAGCTCGCACGTGAAACCCCACAATTTTACTTCTTTCAGCTTCGAAACTACTATTTTTAACCTTTGAAGGGCCAGCTAGTGCTGAATTCTTGGTGTGGTCCATGGGCATCATCAATAAAAAGTTAATTCAGTCGCCCGTCTTGACACTTGAGGTCGAAAACTCTGCATTACATCATCGGCCTTCAAACTAGAACTGAACTGGACCAAAGTCTGATATTGAAGCCACACTTAATATCGGCCGTAGTGTAAGCTCAGCGCGACACTTCCGCGTGATGACCTTGTCAGTAACATTGCCATTGAATCTAAACATGAACTCCTTGTCCACAGCCCGAGTAGAAGAAAGAAAAAAAGAAGAAGAACCAAACGCGTCATGTATACTTAATATGGATGTTCCTGTTAGATAAGTTCGTATTCGATAAGGCCCAGTGCACACGGCGTATGAGAAACGCTGCGTTCTCTTAAAAAAAAAAACGCTTCTATAAACAGTATTATTTGTTTAACACGTTTTGAGTTTAAAATTATTTGATTGGTAGCCGACGCTCCGAGCGTTGAGTTTTTTTTTTTGAAGGATATAAACACGCTGATTACTTGTTGATAGCATCTTGTTGCAATGAAGCAGTAAGTCCGAGAGAAAGAGATAGATAAATGCATTACTTTTTATCATTTTCTATCATTAAAATGCTTTAGTAATTCAGCTGTCAGCCAAGCAATGCGTTTTTCTCCTACCAAACTATTACGTAGAAGTACTGGAGGAGGCGGCGTGTTGATGACGCGTTACTATATTTAAAAAAAAATCCCAATAATAAGAGTTATTATTATAATTAATACTTTATTTCAGTTTCAAAAAAAGCCATGTCTTGTTAATAATTATCACTTATAATCGATGTTAGTGACTTAACTATCAGACTATCCATTACAATTTTTTTCTCAAGCTCCTGCTGCAAAGGCTATTAATTAGCAGACCTTCGATCTTGCTCGGATGTTCTGAAGACTATTGCCATGTCACGCACGCGACGCAATAATTATTCACTATAAGCACAATAAGTCGTTATTCCAGTGAACTATTAGATAATGATATCGTCTTATAATTATTTTAGTTGTTTTTTTTCAATTGTCTGATCATTTACGATTGAATTAGGAACCTCTTTATATTTCGAAGTAGGTCAAAAATGTTTCAAATTTTTTTTTTTTGTTTTTTTTTTTTTTGTTTCTTATAAAATGGAAGCGTTATTTGTCAGCTGGCCGCGGCGGCTGGCCCGCGCGTCCGTAGACGCAGCGTCTCCGCGCGCCAGTGTGCACACAGCTTAACGATACGGAGCCTGCCTATTTTTATATTATATTATTATAAAAAGTATAACTATTTTTATATCGTTATCTTAATTTCATAATGATTTTATATTTTCCTTCGAATAATAAACAATTAAATAAATAAAAAAATAAATAAAAAAGAATATTTCTTGTTATAATCAACGAAACATGTTTATGACTGTTATTATATTGTATTAAATACAAGAAATATTACAAAAAAAAGAAAATGTTTGTTTTATTTGAGTTATTTGAGTTAACTTTTACGCTCAATCAAAGATTGACCAGCAAGGAGGGGCTTAATTAGTATTTCATTCAATTTTACAAAGCATACTTACTAATAACCACTACACAATAATAAATAACACATAAACATATAATCATTTTGAAACTGTATCCAATTCGTGAAAGAGATCCATACATGATACATTTTTCATGTTACAAGTTACGGGAGTTTAGCGATTTTCTTTTTTTAAGTGCCACTGAATAATAATTGTATCCGTAGTTCGAAGGACTAATATCAAACGAAGCTAATATTCCAGTAGTCAATACCGAAATATGCTATACAACTTGAAACATAGACATCATTGCTTAATACTGAAACCTTAGAACTCATATCTCATGGTGGGTGGCGGCATTTACGTTGTAGATGCCTATTGGCTCCAGTAACCACTTAACACCAGGTGGGCTGTGAGCGCGTCCACCCATCTAAGCAATAAATAAAAAGTTAGGAGACGAAATTTAAGTCGTACCGTTAATAGACCACTTAACAACATATAAGTTGCGGGCTAGTTGACAAAGAAATAACATCATGTAACATAACCCGTAGTGTTGTCATAAATGACTTACCACCTATTCGCTGATAGGTAGCCTAAGAGGCTATTACAGCTACGCGCGGACGGGTAGATGAGTTCACGGACTCAACCTGAGAGAATTTGCTAGAGCAGTGCTTCGCTGAACCTACCACCAGATCGGAAACGCGACCCACTGAGAAGATCCGGCGAGAAACTCAGTGGGCTGTGTCTGTGGGTTAATTCGCTCGTCGAGCCCTTCGTCGCAAGTGACGGGTTCGGCGAGGACAGTGACCGGTGCTTGAGGTACCTAAAAGCACCGTTAATGGATCGGGGTAACCGGTCGACGATCGCGGTATCATTTGAAGGCAGCGCGCTGATTCGATCTAACCCTACTCTCACCCACCGGGCGTCGCTTCAGTATTGCGGTGTCCACAATTTTTTTAAATATATTCGTTTTAAACGTCTCATGTCAGCGCAAAAGTGGCCTAAGTTTACCATAATTAGCATGAGATAATGAGTTTACTATAATTCGTAGGCAAAAAAATACGCGCTAAAATGATGTTTACAAAGGAATCTGTTATCTATGAATTGAAATTAGGGATAGGCCAATTTTGCATAAAAATTTATTAAGTTTTAAATACATATATATATGTATGTATATAAGCACGAATATGAATTGTCGGTTAGCCTACTTTTGCTCTGCCGGCCTCATCATGTCCATACTCAATATAAAGTGTTCAACAAATCAGCCTGTAACTCTTTGTTGGATGGCAACAAAAACGCTTTCTCTTTATACTTACGCCACAACGCGTGTAATTGATCCGCCGCCGCCCGTGCAGTTGAATCACGATCTGGTTGAGTAACTACAGCACTTGTCATCTGCATAATGCATGCGTTACTCAACATTTAATTAGTATGTACGTAATATAAGGGTAGGACCAGTGGTCCTCAAACTTTATGGTGTACCGCCTGTCGCCGGTTTGAAGCGTGGCGCAGCCGTTGTCTATACTAATAAATAAATCTACAGTGGTTTTTACGGATGTTCCGTTATAACTACTGAACCGTGCATCCAATTGACTTGAAACTTGGTATCCATGTAGAAAATACATGTACTTAATGGATAGGCTAATATTTATATGAGTGTTGGACTCCCTACACCAGTTAGGGGGCGTTAATGATGAGAATCCTAACAACTTATATCTCAAGGTCGGTGGCGACATTTACGTCGTAGATATCTACGGGGTCCGCCATCCGGTAACCACATAACACCAGGTGGGCCGTCAGCCCATCCACCGACCTAAGCAATAAAAAATATATTACAACAATATAGTTTCATTGAAATTATTCTCTTACCATCGAAAACTAAAAGTATGTTGCAATAACATTCAAGGTTATATTAATGTGGAGTTAATAGGGAGATAGTTAAGAAGCTACTTATTAAATAATAGTTCATTAATCATTAATTATAACTACACAGAATGCACAGCAATACGATATAGAGCTGTACTTGAAGAGGCTTCATCTTGATTCTGTATCCCGTCACTAGGGAAAATCACTATCGATAAATGTGATTTTTTATATTCTTTTGATTTTCTTTATTTTTTGCACAGATGGCTGGACGAGCTTATACCCCACTTGGTATTAAGTGGTTACCGAAGACCATAGAGAGACGATGAGTGTCAAATAAGTAAGAAACAATACATGTGTGCAATTCACACGTGGTAGAAATGAAACCTTCAAAAATCAAAATACAATTATCTTAAATGTCTAAGTATATGTAAAATTTTGTTATTAGTAAATACATAATTGTAAATCATCTTTTATAGTATGAGGTAGCGCCCTCTGTGAATTGATATTTTAAATTCACGTGTAATCCTAAATTTAAATTCACTACAAGAGGTTTCATACACACGTTAGTATTAAGAAATCTCATAGATGTCGCTGTATTAAAAAAACACTACACTGAGTACGTCTAATGTGTTCTATCTCATTCTCTCGCCGGCTGAATCCTATACATTTATGTGTTTGTGTCTCTATGGACTTATTTTTTCGTTTCATCGAGTTTGAAATCACAACGTTTCTAAAGAAGTTTCACTTCAAAAATCTCCCATCTACGAGCTATTTGCATTATTTGGACAAATATTTGCAAATATTATACTTAAAAAGATTCTAAATAACTGAATGCGCGATACTGTGAAAGATGTAGATAGAAAATTCAGTAAAATCAATAATAAATGACAGTTCCCGCAGCCAAGCGAGGGCGGGTTGCTAGTACTTTTATACAGACTTACACATTTTCAGGTTCAGAACACATGTTTCAAGGTGAGTGGCGACATTTACGCTGTTGATGTCCACGGGCCCTGGTAACCATTGGACACCAGGTGGGTCATGAACTCGTCAATCAATTAAAGCAATAACAAAAATAAATAAAAAATGTTAATTAACCATTAGTTCTTGCCGATTTAATAAGTACACCCTCAATATTGCTAGAATGTACATAGTTGGCACTGTTTCAATGCGATACGGAATATCGCGTTAATTGTTTTTTTAGTGAAATTTAAAAAAAAACTTATCGACAACACAATGTTTTTTTAATCGACAACATCCCAACACTAGCTATGCATTCGTTTTACGCAACGGACGCACATCACGATGCGCCATTACGTTAAATCGAGAGCATTCACTGAATTTAATTGATATATCTCGAATCTCATCACTAAATATGGAGCAAGGTCGACCGGTGACTGTACCTCACATACATTTTAGTGTGGCGGTAGGAAACTTAAGGAGGTGGCGTCGGAAAAAGACTTGGATGGATTGTGTGAAAGAGAGAAAGGTATTTGTAAAGAGAGAAAGGTGCATAGCTGACGTATGATAGGTTTGAATCAATGAAGTAGGAAACCTATGGAAATGAAACGTCAACCAAAATTTCGTGCCACTGTGACGTCATCTGGCCACAAAACATGGCGGCTTTAGTGCTGTTACAAAAGATTTCAATGTCATCAGGTTTTATCGATAAACGTTCTTGGCTCATTTTATTTTAAATATTGTTGAGTATTATTTATTTGTAGAATTTATACTTTAATGGGATGTAAGTAGGTATATTGTTATGTGCAAATATGATATGAATTAGATGGGTGAAATCTAAGACAAGTTCGTCCTTCGAATATGATGATTTTTAAAAGTTGCTACACTGATTTTATAAAGTTGTCGTTTGTCGCAAAACATAAAGATATGGCGTAGTTCAAAGCCATCAGCCCATTTCTAGCATGCTAAATGTTATCGTATTTTGAGTACGTGTTTTCTTAGACTATAACAATCTATTTTAATTGTTTTGCTGACTCTAAAGTCCGTAACATACTACCGCAGCGCACCNGGAATTTAATTTAATGTCACCCGCTCCATACAAAAAAATCACAAAACACATTTTTCTGACCAAACTATAAAGTTTTTGTAATTTTTGCCTAAAACAATTATTATTTAGATTAACGAGCTCTATCTATCTACATAAAGAAAAATGTAAAAAAACAAAGTTGGTGCCTAAGTCACTAAAATCATAGTATCGACCCACTGTGCGTCAGCGCAAAAATAGGCCTAAGCTTACTATAGTTAGCTTGAGATAACGAGTTTACAATACTTCGTAGGCAAAAAAATACGCGCTAAAATTATGTTTACAAAGGCATATGTTATCTATGGATTGAAATTAGGGATAGGCCAATTTTGTATAAAAATTTATTAAGTTTTAAATACATATATAAGCACGAATATGAATTGTGGGTTACTGTGGGCCCACTTTTGCGCTGACGGCCTCAATTATCATGTCCATACTCAATATAAAGTGTTCAACAAGTCAGCCTGTAACTCTTTGATGGATGGCAATTTAATATTCGGCTTCATTTGTTGTAATTAGCTTAAAACCAAAGTTCAACCAAGTTCCTTTATGTTACTTAGAAAATCAGTTTAAATAATGTAATCGTAACAAAAACGCTCCCTCTTTATACTTACGCCACAGCGCGTGTAATTGATCGCCGCCGCCCGTGCAGTTGAATCACGATCTGGTTGAGTAACTACAACACTTGTCATCTGCATAATGCATGCGTTACTCAACATTTAATTAGTATGTACGTAATATAAGGGTAGGACCAGTGGTCCTCAAACTTTAGGGTGTACCGCCTGTCGCCGGTTTGAAGCGTGGCGCAGCCGTTGTCTATACTAATAAATAAATCTACAGTGGTTTTTACGGA